CCATACAGTGTATGTGTCGTCCATACAGTGTATGTGTCGCCCATACAGTGTATGTGTCGTCCAAACAGTGTATGTGTCGTCCATACAGTGTATGTGTCGTCCATACAGTGTATGTGTCGTCCAAACAGTGTATGTGTCGTCCATACAGCCTCAGGGTGAGTCCTCTTGACTCACTTTTGCTTCCATTGATTTAATTTAATATTTATACTAAATTAATTATTATATTAAATTATTATATATTAAATAATTATTATTTAAGTATTAAATACATATTTAATACAAAGGCCGCGGAAGCCTCTTGTATTAACAAAGGCCTCTTGTATTAACGCTTGAGTGGCCTCTTGCCTGGCCTCTTGAAGCAGTGCGCCTCTTGCCTGGCCTCTTGAAGCAGCGTGCCTCTTGCCTGGCCTCTTGCCTGGCCTCTTGCCTGGCCTCTTGAAGCCAGCGCGCCTCTTGCCTCGCCTCTTGAAGCAGCGCGTCTCTTGCCTGGCCTCTTGAAGCAGCGCGCCTCTTGCCTGGCCTCTTGCCTGGCCTCTTGAAGCAGCGTGCCTCTTGCCTGGCCTCTTGAAGCCAGCGCGCCTCTTGCCTGGCCTCTTGAAGCAGCGTGCCTCTTGCCTGGCCTCTTGCCTGGCCTCTTGAAGCAGCGCGCCTCTTGCCTGGCCTCTTGCCTGGCCTCTTGCCTGGCCTCTTGAAGCCAGCGCGCCTCTTGCCTCGCCTCTTGAAGCAGCGCGCCTCTTGCCTGGCCTCTTGCCTGGCCTCTTGAAGCAGCGCGCCTCTTGCCTGGCCTCTTGAAGCAGCGCGCCTCTTGCCTGGCCTCTTGAAGCAGCGCGCCTCTTGCCTGGCCTCTTGAAGCAGCGCGCCTCTTGCCTGGCCTCTTGAAGCAGCGCGCCTCTTGCCTGGCCTCTTGAAGCAGCGCGCCTCTTGCCTGGCCTCTTGAAGCAGCGCGCCTCTTGCCTGGCCTCTTGAAGCAGCGCGCCTCTTGCCTGGCCTCTTGAAGCAGCGCGCCTCTTGCCTGGCCTCTTGAAGCAGCGCGCCTCTTGCCTGGCCTCTTGAAGCAGCGCGCCTCTTGCCTGGCCTCTTGAAGCAGCGCGCCTCTTGCCTGGCCTCTTGAAGCAGCGCGCCTCTTGCCTGGCCTCTTGAAGCAGCGCGCCTCTTGCCTGGCCTCTTGAAGCAGCGCGCCTCTTGCCTGGCCTCTTGAAGCAGCGCGCCTCTTGCCTGGCCTCTTGAAGCAGCGCGCCTCTTGCCTGGCCTCTTGAAGCAGCGCGCCTCTTGCCTGGCCTCTTGAAGCAGCGCGCCTCTTGCCTGGCCTCTTGAAGCAGCGCGCCTCTTGCCTGGCCTCTTGAAGCAGCGCGCCTCTTGCCTGGCCTCTTGAAGCAGCGCGCCTCTTGCCTGGCCTCTTGAAGCAGCGCGCCTCTTGCCTGGCCTCTTGAAGCAGCGCGCCTCTTGCCTGGCCTCTTGAAGCAGCGCGCCTCTTGCCTGGCCTCTTGAAGCAGCGCGCCTCTTGCCTGGCCTCTTGAAGCAGCGCGCCTCTTGCCTGGCCTCTTGAAGCAGCGCGCCTCTTGCCTGGCCTCTTGAAGCAGCGCGCCTCTTGCCTGGCCTCTTGAAGCAGCGCGCCTCTTGCCTGGCCTCTTGAAGCAGCGCGCCTCTTGCCTGGCCTCTTGAAGCAGCGCGCCTCTTGCCTGGCCTCTTGAAGCAGCGCGCCTCTTGCCTGGCCTCTTGAAGCAGCGCGCCTCTTGCCTGGCCTCTTGAAGCAGCGCGCCTCTTGCCTGGCCTCTTGAAGCAGCGCGCCTCTTGCCTGGCCTCTTGAAGCAGCGCGCCTCTTGCCTGGCCTCTTGAAGCAGCGCGCCTCTTGCCTGGCCTCTTGAAGCAGCGCGCCTCTTGCCTGGCCTCTTGAAGCAGCGCGCCTCTTGCCTGGCCTCTTGAAGCAGCGCGCCTCTTGCCTGGCCTCTTGAAGCAGCGCGCCTCTTGCCTGGCCTCTTGAAGCAGCGCGCCTCTTGCCTGGCCTCTTGAAGCAGCGCGCCTCTTGCCTGGCCTCTTGAAGCAGCGCGCCTCTTGCCTGGCCTCTTGAAGCAGCGCGCCTCTTGCCTGGCCTCTTGAAGCAGCGCGCCTCTTGCCTGGCCTCTTGAAGCAGCGCGCCTCTTGCCTGGCCTCTTGAAGCAGCGCGCCTCTTGCCTGGCCTCTTGAAGCAGCGCGCCTCTTGCCTGGCCTCTTGAAGCNGCAGTTACGTGCAGCACGGCAGTTACGTGCAGCACGGCAGTTACGTGCAGCACGGCAGTTACGTGCAGCACGGCAGTTACGTGCAGCAGCGTTTAATACTGAACTCACTTGCCTATTGTTCGCTGTTAACTTAAAATTATATTATAGGTGATTAGGGTGATTGTAAGAGAAATTAGGGTGATTGTGAGGGAAATTAGGGTGATTGTGAGGGAAATGAGGGTGATTGTGAGGGAAATTAGGGTGATTGTAAGGGAAATTAGGGTGATTGTAAGGGAAATTAGGGTGATTGTAAGGGAAATTAGGGTGATTGTAAGGGAAATTAGGGTGATTATAGGATGCAATTATAGAGGTGGGCGTTATATATGCCTCTAGCCTGGGGGGTGATTATGTATATATATAGGGGTATAAGGGCATAGGTATACCCCTATATATAGGGGTATAGGGGTATATACTACCTATAGGGTGATATATGATGTATTAAGGTGATTGTAAGATATGTTTAAAGAGATTATAGGACTTACCTGGCTGATCAAAGGGTGATTATTAGGATGGTAAGAGATTATTGGTTTTCCAGGGTGATGTGGAGGTGATCAAGGTGATTAGGGTGATTCTATGGAGAGATTAGGGTGGGTATAATGGGAAATTATGATGATTAAAAGTTATGCCAAGCAGTTACGGGATTATTGGGGTTACCATGATGATGTATAAAGGATTAAGGTAATTAGGGTGTATTGAAGTGATTTTAGGGTTAGTTAAAAATGATTAAGATGATTATAAGGTTGGATTAGGGTGATTTAGGTGATTATGTGTTTAGATTAAAGTGATTTAGGTGATTATAGGGTTCGATTAAGGTGATTACAAGGTTGGATTAGGGTGAGATTAGGGTGATTATATGAAAATATTAGAGAGATTAAGGTGATTAGAGAGTTAGATTAGGGTGATTGAGGTGATTAGAGGTTAGATTAGGGTGATTATAGAATTAGATTAGGTTGAGATTAAGGTGATTATACATAAGGTTAGATTAGGGTGATTAAGGTGATTATAGGAGGCGCACCACAAGCACCGGACACGCCTGACCTTTGCGCTTCCTCGCGGTGCTCAGCAGGAGTTATCGCCCCAACTTGCCGCCCGGAAACCGCACGCATTCAGGCCGACGAACGAGCGATCGCTTTTACGATAGTTGATCAATTCTAAACGCGATCAGTTGATTGTTACAACGCCCTTGTAACGCCCATATAACACCCCTATAACACCCCTGACAGGCTCACATCAGGTCCTCCTTCATCCTGAACGGTGTGTGTTATAACACCCATATAACACCCCTATAACACCCCTATAACACCCCTATAACACCCCTGACAGGCCCACATCAGGTCCTCGTTCATCCTGAACGGTGTGTGTTATAACGCCCATATAACGCCCCTATAACACCCATATAACACCCCTATAACACCCCTTTAACGCCCCTGACAGGCACACATCAGGTCCTCGTTCATCCTGAACGGTGTGTGTTATAACTCCCCTATAACACCCCTATAACCCCCTTATAACACCCATATAACACCCCTATAACACCCCTATAACACCCCTGACAGGCCCACATCAGGTCCTCGTTCATCCTGAACGGTGTGTGTTATAACACCCCTATAACACCCATATAACTCCCCTATAACACCCATATAACTCCCCTATAACACCCCTATAACACCCCTATAACACCCCTGACAGGCCCACATCAGGTCCTCGTTCATCCTGAACGGTGTGTGCGTGAGGTGGCGGGGGTGGCTCGACCTGGAGCGTCTGGACGGCCTGGGGGTCGTGGAGTACGACGAGGAGAGCGCCCTGGTCAGTCTTGTTATTATTATTATTATTATTATTATTGTTATTATTTTTATTGTTATTGTTATTATTTTTATTGTTATTATTATTATTATTATTGTTATTATTATTATTATTATTATTGTTATTGTTATTATTATTATTGTTATTATTGTTATTATTATTATTATTATTATTATTATT